ATAACTTATTATTTGCTATACTATGTTAAAAATACCAGTTGATTGCATGAAAAAAGATAGTTGGCTGACTAGTTGGGCTTGCGGGTCATACTAGTTATGAGGTAGTTTACAACTAGTACATTTGACTACAGGGTGTACATGTATGGCATTGGTCTTGGTGGGACTGTTTGAATTGATTGTTTCGCTCTATTTTAAGCTAATTTGAAATTTTTAAAAATTGCCTGCACATCAGCATCAAAATACCTTTCTAATGATATATAATTGTTTATACCTTAGGAGTATAGTTCAGCCGTAAAAGGGGTGTAAAGGAAACATGATTGCCTATTTATATAATTGATATACGTTTGTACATACATATAAAACTGATATCACTCACCTGGTCGTTTCTCCCATCGGAGGGAATGCATATAGAGGACATCCCAATGGACATCCCACGATACAACTTTTGTTCACCATTTTGCTTCTGAAAAGATGCAGACAAAAAATTATAACGACTGTGTTGAAATAAATGTGTTCATGCATATATACATATGTAAATGGCCTAATGAATTGTTTCTACACGGTACTACTTGAGCAAAATGTGTAGTTCAAGAAGAATATGTATATTTTATTAAAAATATTCAATTTCTCTATTGATAGAAAATCAGCCTTATCATGAGTTTCATTTTCCCCGAACCGGTTCACTTTTCACATTTGGTTTCCATGGTTTTACTATAGGCGGAAGACAAATTTTCGGGTGAATTTTTTTTCAGGCGTTTCACTTTTAAATTTTTTGACATAAACTGTGCTTAATCAAATATTTATTTTGGAAATTTTAATATTTTTTTAAGGAAATTTTATTTCATTAAAAAGTAAGTTGTAACACACGAGGTAAATATACTTACATGATTGTTCGTATTAAAAGAGCTTGATTTAAATTGCTATACATATAAGGCACACCAAAAATGTAGCATTAGCTTTAACATGATATATTATATGCAGTTGGTCCTTTAAGAAACTAAGTAGGATGTTGCTTTATTTCGGATTCTATGGAAGCATAAACTTCTTTGTGATAACGCATGGTGTATAGCTCCTTGCATCTGCTTGCATACATTAGTTTTATCATGCGTCTCTCATTTATACATTTGTATATTTACACTAGCAGACCCGGCGAACTCCGTCCCGCCCAAAATAAATTTTTTGTATTGAACCATTTTGGTCTAACATTTTCACCAACAGTTCACGTTCATGATTTTCGGTGACGCATTTATCTTCTAATATTACGGTTTGGTGGTTGTCAGAAGGCGTATTTCCATTGCCGTCTTAAATAACCTAGAAATCACGGGTGGTCATTGTACTTATAACAGATAAAATACTCACTCTACTCCTACTGGTATCGCGTTTCGCTCTAATTGGGCGCATCCGTTCTTCCGGTTGAAATCTTTCGCGGAAAAGTGCTCGAAACAAACAAACGATACCTTATACGTTACTATAGTAGATACTAAATAGTAAAGGACCCAAGATAGATCCTTGGGGAACACCACACTTCAAGGGCTTAATCTGCGAGGTTACCGACCCAATTTTCACTCGTTGAGACCGGCAACTTAAGTAGCTCTTCATGAGCGATAAAGCTGAGTCACCAAAACCGAAATAAAATTCGAGCTTGGAGCAAAGCAGTGAATGATCAACTGCGTCAAACGCTTTAGAAAAATCAAGCAAACATAAAAGAGATAATTCACCTTTGTCAAAAGAAACTCTCAAGTCGTTCTGCCATCAGCGACTCAAACACTTTCGATAATGAGGGAAGAACACTTATAGGACGGAAATCACTGGGGGAACAAGCAAGTTTACTTTTCGCAACCGGACAAACATAAGCGATTTTCGACGAATCGGGAAAGCAGGATGTGGTAACGCAGTGGTTAATTATGTGTTAAAGGGCTTATAATATAAGGGAGAATCAACTTTATAAACCGAACAGGTATGCCATCCTCTCCAACTGCGTTAGATTTAATGTTGAAAATGCATTTAGCCACATCCTAACATCACTAACAGCTAAGAACACGAAAGGAACACCAGAATAAATTGCAGTACTACAAGGGGTAAATTTAGATAGTGGAACAATAGACGATACATTGCTAAGAAACGCATCGTTCATGCTATCCACATCTAATACGCATTCTGATTTGTCTTTGGTCCAGACTCGGAGATTTTTGATATTGCGCCAAAAAGTTCCGGAGAACAGAGAGGGGTCAAGCTTGGAATGGAAGTACTTCTTCTTTTCACTTCTTACAATTTGTGTAGCTTTGTTTCTTGCCGTGCGAAAGATATCCCAATTAGTTTTACTACTATTTGATTTCCAACGAATTAGTTTTGCCATATCGAATTGGAATGTGAGCGTTGAAAGCGGACAGTAGGTTACAATTAAGAAATTCCAGTTTTTCATTAACGGTCGGAAGACACCAGCAGCTACGCCAATCGATGCTATCTAGATCCGAGAAAAGAGCATTTTTGTCACACGAACGAAAACCTCGATAACTTTAAAAATCTGAACCACCTCCAAGCGGCCTCGAACCTGCGATTTCAGAACCAGAACCAGTAGTCTTCACGTGACGCCACAGCCGAGATTTGTAAGAAAAGCAATTAATTGCGTCTTATTTTTGGCTTTGGCAATACAAAGGCAGATGTCGCTGATCGCCTGAGTTCTTCGAAATTGTCGAACTGGTAGGCACGTACTAGTTAATGAACTAGTATTTTTTCTGACTGGTTTTGCTTTTCACTGCAGGGTAAATATAAAGTAATTTATTGGCTCCTGTGTACAGTGATGTGTGCACTCATGTTAAATGAATCACGCTTTTATTTTTTATGAACTATAGTTTATTTATATACCTAAATATTGTTAAAAAAAACAAGTACTCTGGCGTTTTAAAGTATTATCTGTTACTTACATTCATAATTTTGCTTAGAATAAAAGTGTACTGAAAAATACGGATTTTTTAGCATGAAAAAGTCTAACGTACTGATTGCGCGCATAAAAAATCTGGCAACCCTATTAAAAACGTCAGCCAGTGAAATTTAATTTATAAAAAGCGACCGGCTTGCTCGATATAAATTACTGGCGTTTTTTTCTCGAAATAATGTTGCCCTGTTCTCCTCAGCCCTTTCACAGCTTTGCGTGTTAATTTCTCAAAATATTGCCCTCCGGCTAAGCAAAAGTGCAATACTTTCTACTAACATAGCCATTTTGCAGGACGAAAAGTAACCTTGTGCAAATGTTACCATATACGAAGGCAAAATGTTTCAATAGAAAATAAAACCACATAAGTTTGTAACTGATTTCTTTCTTTATTGAAGTAATACTGACATGACTTCTGATGTAAAGCTTATCTACGTATAATCTTTGTTAACCAAAAATTAATTAATCTTTTTACTTGCGATTTATTTAAATAAAACAAGTTAACTTCAGTTGAAATATTTTAGCCGTTTTCAGTATTTTTTTTGGCCAATCTAGCCGGCCGGCCCAAAAAGTTCTGGCAAACATTCAACGATAGCCAGAGCGCAAAAAATTTAATACGGTTATCGTTCGCGCACAAAATACATTAATGTGCGCCATCATCCGGTTCGAGTCCGGACTAGTCAGAATTAAGCAGATTTTACTGGATCCCGTACTCGGTTCCCTGACAATTGAGATGACAAAAAAGAGAGTAAATAAGGTCCTCTCTGTCAGAAATTACCAGTTGTAGTCCGAAGATTTTTTGCTGGTAAATGTCAAACGATCAGCTGTAGTGTGTTTGACAACCAAATTGTAAACAAAAAAACTGCACTATGCTATAGCATTTATGCTAATGCATGTTGAAAATTATTTAGTTATTTAAGTGGATTTGATTTTTGGTTATTTACAGGCAAAGTAATTAAAAATTGACAACTAAAACTTGGAGGTTATAATGAAGTTGTCAGAAGTTACCATTTTTTACTTGAAAGCCATCCCGTACTTTTCAGTGTTACACCCAGAAAAAAAATCGTGTTAAAACAACCAAATTTTAACCAATTTTGTGGTTATTATTTTTCAACGCGATATGTCATGTTATTTTCACATGAAGGAAATTTTTTAACATTTTTCCCTCTTGTTGACTTAACATTGGATAATTGTTAATTTAACATTGAAAGTGCTGTAAATTTAACCTGAAACATCGGTTTATTTTAACAAGGCATGTGGTTGGTTTCACAGGATATTCTACATGAAAATACTGGTTGAATCAACAGGAGTTGTTGTTAAAATAACACTACGTCTTCATGTTAAAAGAACCATATTTTAATGTTATTTTAATATGGCATCGTGTTACCTTGTGTCCCTACTTTTACAAAATAAATAACAATTTGTTTAGTTTATTTTTATTAAAAAAATTTAAATATATACACTGTTGACTTAAAAACTAAGTACTTATCTATTTATTACACAAAATTCATACACAAAAATTTCATATGTACATACATACATACACTATAGTGCGAAACTGAGTCCATGGTGATTTTTGTTGTACATGTGCAAGGTTTTTAAAGTTAAATTTTTTTTGTTACTTTTTTATGAAAACATGGTTTATGCTTTAACCAAAACTATATAAATCAAACTTTCAGTTTTTATGCAGAGCTTAGAAAAACTCAACAAATTTTTATAAAAATTGTGGACTTTTAAAAAACTTTCAAACATTTTTGGGTAGTTTTGTAGCCTGTTAAATTTTAGTATGATAAAGCGCAAGTTTTAAGCGGATAAAAAATTGCTGACGGCTTTTGCGGTTTTTTTTATACAACAAGTGCAATTTATAAAAACTGACAATGAAAAAGTTTTTAAAAATCAACGCGATTTTTTATCCGCTTACAACTTGCGCTTTATCAGACTAAAATTTAAGAGGCTATAAAACTGCATGCCCAAAAAAGTTTGAAAGTTTTAAAAGTCCACAATTTTTATAAAAATTTGTTGAGTTTTTCTAAGCTCTGCATAAAAACTGTATCAAATTTATCACGTTTGAAAAACATTGACCACATTTAGAGAAAGTGCAAACAAAATTTTTTATCTCAGCAAAAACATGGAAAGATTTCAAATGGTCAACTAACAATTTTGATGTAGAAGACCTTTCGTTACATATAAAGCATTTGAACATTTTATCAATCTACTCCAACAAGTTTTGAGTATCTTTTAAATAATTCTTAAGTGTAATAACATTAGGGTGTGCACAATCCGCAATGCCAAAAAAGTAGGATTCGATAAAATTATATATGGATTTCGCTTGTATCGGATATTCCAAATTTAATACATGAAAGATTTTAAATAAAGTATCAAGTGATTTTAAAAATGTCGGTACCTTGTAAATTATACTGTCGAAAATAACGTAAAAAGAGTCTAACTGAGTTAGTTTCTCTCCGACTACCAATAGTAGCGGCTGAAGAGGAAGATTCTTTTGATTTAACTTAATCTTTAATTCGTGTTACATCCTCTGATAATCGTTTATGCTGCTGCAATGCAGCAATGTCACTGCTTGCGCATCACATATTGATGGCTTCCATTTAAGCCGTTTTTCACCAGAAGTTTGTCCAACGGAAATTAATGACGGTTTAAGTATCGCATGCAAAAGCAGTGTCAATAAACAATCCATTGAGTCTGCATAAGAAAATAAAATAAATACTTGAAAAAATAGATATTAGACTTGTTGCTTTACCAGTACTGATGTTTTCGTCAATTTTTTTTAGCATATCAATGGACGTTGCATCTCTTATTTTTGTCTTCATGTAAGGTATAATTGACTTTCTAAATTTTGGCCATTCGTTTAGCAAATTCTGCGAACAGTTGGGAAATTTCGCTTCAAAATCAATTTCAACCTGCAGTATAATTGAAAATATACAAATTCCAAAGTTTTATATCATAAATAAGAAAATTTAAAATAGGTACAAATATAAAGCTAAACTTACCAAAGTGTATCCAAGACTGTGTTTCAGCAGCGGCCAATTAGTTAAAATATTTGCGTGTTCATTTAAAATCTCTGCGGTTCTTAATTTGACTGTGTTCGTCCATTTTTCTACAACATCGCCCCAAGGCTCTACATTATGACAAAGCCAATTTTTCATGGCTAAGTCATTTTCATCTGCTAATCGAAGGAAATATTAATCATGGTTTTTCCTTACATGTGTATGTACTTATTTTTGTATGTATGTACGTGTAGGTATTGCACCGTGCGACAAAAACAAAAAAATTTCGAAACCCACGAAGCAATCAATATACTCACGAAACTGTGGGCCAAATATAGTGGTATATACATACATACACGTACATAGATAAGTACGTTTTTGTAAAATTAAATTTACTATTGCTCGCCTGCTCCGACAAACTTGATTGAGTGGGTTGACATTTAGGTGCAAAGCTTAGTGCTCCTGTTTCTTTTTTTATTTTCCTTCGGATGTTTGTTGCCTTATCATAAAGTTTGCCTGTTGGATTTTTGCCATTTCGACGGTTGCAGTAATAGCGCTAAATAAAAGTAAAATAAATGCATTTAAGTGTTGAATATTTTTTTTTTAATATTCACAACGTTTTTCAAGCTAAATTTATTCTGTTATTTTTCTATAAAAATTGTATCCAAGCTTTAGCCAAAACCATATAAATCAGAGTTTCGAACTTTCTTCCACTTTTTATTTCGTAAGAAATTCATGCTTATAAGGAAAAAAGGGCAAAAATCTGTCAGCTAAAAAATTATTAAAAATCAGTGCTATTTTTTATCCGCTTGAAACTTGATCCTCCTTTACATATGTATTTACAAATTTTGATAGCAAGTGAATATGAAAATGCATACATACCATGTCTTCGTTGGGAAATAAAATTGTTATTTGCTCAGAAAAGGTGATGATATCTTTCATTGTCATAGGCACTGATCGCGCTGAGAAGTGGTCAACAATGGTATTTACCAAAATGTCACGACTAACATCTGACAGCACGGTCTTTTCTCTATATTGTTTAAAGATGCTTTGACCTCTTTCAGTGGCATTAAGTATTAACTTTAAATTCTTTGCTTCCATGTCTCTTATCGAGTCGTGAGACTCTTGGCTAGAATTTATCCAACTCTTGCATGATCCTATTGATGAAATGGTATCAGCCTTAAAATAAAAAAAGTATGCAAAGCTTATCATTGATGTGAAAATGATTTACTTACTTCATTCTGTCGCCAACGTGCAACTCTTTCTTTAAACTTTACTCTCGTTCCGAGCATTGATGCAGGGAAAAGTTCATTTATGTCCCCATCGTTGATGAAATACAGACTTTCTACATCCATTCCGCAATCTGTCAATAACATAAATATGCATATGGTTCCTCGCAGATTCTCAAAGAACTTACCGAGAATTCTTTGATAAACTTCTTCACTGAAGTTCATTTTACCACATACGACGTCTTTCAAATTTTCTTTTTCACGTGAAGCTTCAGTGGCTTGGCTTTGCTGCAGTGAAGTCTCAACTTCATTCCCCATGGTTAAATCACCATCAACAATGAAATATATGCCCGCCGATTCCCCAAAGACATTTTCTGTACCCATTCTTCTTAATATTTAAATAGCTTTTTTTAATAATCTTTCACAAATAATACACCAAATAAAAATGCAACCGAATGACGAAGAACGCGCACGCAAATAAAATATTACGGTACTTTTATGTTCTCTAACCACATACCCTGTAAAATTCACAATAGCTCATGTCAAAACAAACAGAAATCATGTTACCAGACCTTTTTAACATCAACTAAATGTAAATTTAACACTTTATGTGTTTGAATCAACATTATTTAAAAAAACCCTCATGTAAATTTTACAATAACTCAGGTTGCAACAAACAGGAATCACGTTGCCATATATTTTTAACACTATTCACATGTAAATTTAACACTATATCTTGGTAAATTAACCAAAAATACTTCATGTTACTCTTAACACTTTTTTCCTGTTAAAAATATCATGTTAAAATGGAAAAATTGTTGTTGTTTCGTGTGTACAACTGTTTCATGTGAATTTAACATGGATCGTGTTACTTAAAAATCGAGGATATTTTTCTGGGTGTACTCTCTCGCCCTGATCGAATTTTTTTTTACAGTTTTACTAGTTTTAGTCCGAGGTATACGGGATTGGACCTATTTTGTAAAAGAATGTCCCCGAAGCGGTAAGATTGAGCTGAACTACATGCCAAGTGCAGATAAGTATGACGGCAGATGTCTTTACTAAAGGCACAGTATACCAGTAGAAAAGGTTTTTGTTGTTGTAACTGTTTCGTGGTTAAAGTCCTTTATGGGGATAAACTTTCGACATAAGAAGTTAAGCGCGTGGTTGCTTACGAATGGTCAAAGAACCAATATTAGCAAATATTGAAAAAAGGCGTGTGTAGCACCGTACACATGATAGAACTGAAACTTCTTAAAAAAGGTGTGAGTACCAGGTACTCGCGAAATTTGATGTATAAACATATGTTTACGGCTCGGCAAACCATTAGGCGATTGAGTTACATACATAGATTTGGTTAGAAATTAAACAATGATTTCATTTCATTTTTTTCATTGACTAAAAATGTTCACATTTCACACAGATTTTTTTTTTAAAGCATAATGAACCATATTTTTGCTATTACCAATCAGAATTCTAAAAAAGGAGATTTTCGGCCCACGTTTACCTACAGCCAAAGTTATGTAAACGTACATTTCTTATAATCATTCAAACAAATTTAAATTCCAATTGAAAACACATTTCTTTGAAAATAATTTAAATCTCACACACGAAAGAACCAAAATGATTGAAAAATCGTGATACTTTTTTCTTTCGTAAGTCGATTTTATAACCGGTTCAGAACTATAGAATTTAGATCTAGTTCGGAACTATCGAAAAAAGGATGCAGCGGGGGGCAATTGACACTTCCTAGGGATTCACCATGTTAAATATCGCGAACCAGTACTGGGTCTAAATCTATTAGAAGCGCACCAGTTCAGAACTAGAGATTATCCCCACAGGGGAATGACTGCCATTTGATCGATCAAGTCTGCGTTCAGACCAGTGTTGCCATTTTAGCCGTTTTCCGGCTAGATTTAGCCGGTTGCGACAGCAAACAGCCGGAGAAGTTTCGATTTAGCCGGCAGCCGATTTGTTAGCCGTTTTGCAGAAAAAAATTAGCCGTTTTTAGCCGATTTTGCTATTTGCCTTGTTTTCTTAAATTTCAAATATGCATATATGTTTCCATTTTTGACTAAGCGACCCCAAATTTTCATGTCAGGCAGGATTATATGAAATTGGGCCGATTTCGCTTATTTTTATTTTAAACGAAGAAGGGATTTTCTTCATAAAATGTTTGTTATAAATGTCTTAATTTTAAGTGTGAAGTTTTATTCGCCAACTTAGAAGGGAGAGAACTTATTGTTACTGTTTGCTGAGAACTTATTCAAATTCCAAAAACCGAATGCCTACTTGAATTAAAGGAACCAACACTGAAGTGAGTCAAAATGAAAATAAAAGAGCACAAATTTTTATGTAAAGCAAAACTCGCTGGGAATTCTACGAGACATCTTCCGACCGGTCATCTAAATGGGAGATCTGCAGTCTTTTAGCATCATACTTTACATCAGAATTGAAGGGATTTCTGAAAAATCTGACCAGTTCTTTTGTGTAACTGTGATTTTGCATCCCTTGTCAACATATGGCCTCGGTTGATGTTAACTTGAGGTCGTTGTTTTACTGCCTTAAAATTGAAGGCAAATTTTTACAGCGTTTTTTATGTGTATTGGTTTCTATTTGAGTGTATTGAGAATCGGTCAGTCTGAAAAGGCCTTGTAGGGAAGATAATAGGTTTGTTTGTTTGTTTGAGAATTATCACTCAAAATATCAGATAGTAATAGTAATAAATAGTTTTTTTTCCGGGTACCTTTCAAATCATTGGAATTAACTAAATTAATTAAGTAAACAAGTATTAACTTACATTTTTCATTTTAAAATCGCTCCAGTTTGTAAATTTTTAAATTTAACGAACTTGTTTATTCAAATTATCGTCGACAAAAAATCCAACCATGTGTCACAATCATATATTTTTCCTAATTGCAAATTCTTGCTGGCAAAATTTTTTCCGACTCGAATTTGTGACTTATCTCCAAGAAATAGTCTTTTTACTCGTGATTTATTTAAGTAAAACATGTGAAATTTAGTTGAAACATTTTAGCCGTTTTTAGCCGGATTTATTTGCTAATTTAGCCGGTTCATCCAAAAACTTATGGCAACACTGGTTCAGACATGGAAACTCGAGTTGCTTATTATCGGCAATTTCACTTTTGGTGTTGCCCTTTGCATTCACATACATCAACTCTTTTGTTCGCAATTGTTGTTGTCAGCTGTGGACCGCCAACTTGAATTACTCAGACGAACGAGAGCACAAAGCGTGTTGTCCGAGTTCGAGCAATTCGTCGCTCTCTCCGCTACAAGCTTCGAGTTGACGCAACAAAAGTTTCCGTGTCTGAATATCGACCAAATGAGTCGATAGAAGTAACGTTAGTTGTTTGCCATAGTAACCGCAAGATTCACTAGGGCTGCATTTTGTGCTCAACAAAATAGTTGTACCTGCCAAATAATACTGAAGTACTTGGGTATAATTTTGAACTTAACTAGTTTAGACGATAATTTTACCATTTATTCGACCCCGTTCATACCAAAAGTAAGTCAAAATAATAGTTTTTATAGCGGTATGACAATTTTTTTATATATATTTATTTTTATTTATTTTTATATTTATATATTTACTGGCACAGCACCCGACGTCGTCCGGGGTAAACAAATCAAAATATAAAACAGTAATACAAATAATCAGTTCAGCATAAATTAGAGGAGAAGAACTATTTTCTTTCTGTTTAAATTAAGGCATCCTTATCAGCCATATTTTAAGCTTTATCGTACTTCAACTAATATATATTGATCATCACTTTCTGTACTACAAATCTTGTTCCATTATTAATATTAGGTGGATTGAGGTAACGATAGAATTTTTAAATTAGGTTACTACGGTACATTCCGTTAAGCTGCCTATTCACTTAGCTGCGTTGGTATAGCTGTACTTTTTCGGTAGAATGCTTATTTCGGAAGAAGTTTTATTCATTATGAATGAACATTGTCGTTTAACAGCATCGCGGGATCAAAGAAACGATTGAGTCTTTCCATTTCGAAATGATCTAAAGAATGTAAGGTTTCAAAAAAACACAGTTTTAAATATCCGAGTGATATAATAGTGATGTATATATTCCCCTTTTATAAACTCATTTATAAATACTTTACACTAAACACCTCCCATGTATGTGTCTGCATACCAAATTTCGATTTCATGTGACTTATGGTCTTGAAGTTAGAGCTAACAAAAATTTCCACGTCTATGGGATTACAAACTCATTTATATATCCCTCATTTATATATCCCTTTTTATAAGCATTTGCCATAGCTATACCTGCATATCAAAATTTCGTTCGTGGGGCTTATGGTTCGGAAGTTGTAGCTGATCAAAATTTCCACGCCTATGGGATGTACCACACCCCACTTTTACAAATTTATGTATTTATAGTCTATTATAAGCACTTACCATAGCTATGCCAAAATTAAAGTTCATGTGACTTATCGCTTCGAAGTTATGGCTGATAAAAAATTCCACACCTACGGAATGTATCCTTTTACAAAACTCCTTCATATATACCTTACTATAAGCACCTAGCGTAGACATGTCTGTATATCAAATTTCAAGTTCATGTGACTAATGGTTTCGAAGTTATAGCTCATAAAAAATTCCACGCCTATGGGATGTGCCACACTCCATTTAACAAAATCATTAATATATACCTTATTATAAGCACCAACCATAGATATGTCTGAATACCAAATTTCAAGTTCTTGGGACTTATGGTTCCGAAGGTATAGCTGAAAAGAGGTCCCCGCCGATGGGATGTGCCACGCCCTCTTTCATAAACCCATTCATATACATAGATATGTCCGCATACCAAATTTCAAGTTCATATGACCTATGTTTCCGAAGTTATAGCTGATAGAAATTTTCAAGCCTATGGGATGTGCCATGCCCCTTTTTACAAACGCACTTACTATAAGCACCTACCATAGTTATGTCTGCACACCAAATTTCAAGTTCATTTGACTTATGGTTCCGAGGTTATGGCTGATTAAAAATTTCATGGGAGGGTCCACGCGCCCTTGTCGAATCCAAATTTGTTTACCCTATTATAGGCCCAGGT